TCAGATAGCATAAAAGGCATAAATGGCAGAAAATGCATAGAGGATAAAAAGGCTTTACGAGTGGGAGGGAGTTGAAAGTCAGCCAACGAGGGTTGCACATGAAAGGAATTCGCAGTGCCCACGTAGATGTCTAGATGTTAATAGGCCTCATTTAACACTAGGCGGCGAGCAAAGGGAGCTGCTTGGGAGAGGTCTGTTACCCCAAGCTTGCGCAGTTTCTGTTTTCATACCAATCTCACATATATCTTTACTATATAGACCATCGATGCAAGCTGCACGTCATCTCCATGTGGATCGGTCGGAAAAGCTGGACATGTTTTTGTTCTTTGCTTCTTATCGAAAACATTTATGGTACGTGGTGCCAATGTAAACACTAATGTTATTCTCCTATAGGCGTATGTCTCGTCTGAATGGGCAAATCTTGTACCATGCCGTTTAAGTGCGACTATCATAGATAACCGAATCGAACATGCTCCCAGACCCAAAAAACATGAGTCTGGTACATAGACATTTTACTGGGTTCTTAAACAAGCGCTCTGTATATTTGTACCCATTGAAAATGACCGGGAATGGGTCATGATGACTGAGTGCAGAAGCACATATATTGTTATACATATGTGTGTTCCACTTATAAAATTAAAATAATCAAACTTTAAATTTAAAATAAAAATGTTGAACTTATTTGTAAAGTTGAAAGTCTAGTAAAAGCTTATAAGGGTAAATAATATTTTTATAATTTAGTCGGGTTTACGTGCTTATTTACAAATTATTTTCTTAAGTTTCTTATGTTTTTCAAAAGTTAAGATCAATGTAACTTCTGTAATATGAGCCAAATTATTCCAGATTTGGTCACATGTCAGTAATAAATTAAGAATAAGCTTTTACAAGAAATCTTTAAAAATATATATATGTACATATACATAGATACATATACTGCTTTTTGAATGTAAAACTCGTCTTCTAGTCTAGCACACCCTATTATATTCCTTTACTTAATATAGTGGAAGAAAAGAATGCACACGCTCACTATTTATAGATATATACACTTATACACATGCAGACATATAGACAGTCATCGGTATAGGGTAACCGTGTAGACGTTATCGCCGCAGTTGTTGTCCCGTTTTTCAAGGTATCGAGTGAAACGGTGTACAAATATTTACCGTTTGGCAGCGGCGGCAGCTGCAGCGGCAGCGACAGCGGCTTGTTAGAGAAGTATCTGGTAAGTTTTTGACCCGACTACCGGCTGCGACTGCGACTGCGACTGCGACTGCGACTGCGACTACGACTGCGTAGCGATAAGCGCTGCTCTGGAGCAGACATGGCCACGCTAATTGCGGAATGATAAAAGTTGGTAACCGCTCCCGGCCATAAGTGAATCGCGCAATTGCCAAGATTTCGACTTTATTTTATTTCTTATTGCCAGCCACGAGAAAGAAGAGCATTTCTATTTGCCTAAACCGGCCCCCAAGGAATACTCAAAAAGGAATACCGTCGGCGTTGCCAGACAACGCAAATGTCTGTCAGTCAGAAGAGGAGGGGAAATTCGCTCGCAGCGCAGCTAAGAGCAGGGCAGGATGGCTGGCTGAGCAGGGGAGCAGGACTGGAGGGGGGACTGCTGCTCTTCTGCAGCTTCAAGAGTATTACATAAAATATAAGAAAAAATTATGATTTTCACTTGGCAACACACACACACACACACACAGACACGCATACATATACGGTAGAAGACAACAACAGGAGGCGTAGAGCTCTGCTCTCTGTTGCTGTTGCTGTTGCTGCCGCTGCTTAACTGTCAAAATCGTGTAATTTAATAAAGTTCGCTGCGGGATATTGTTTGTATAGAAGCATATTCATACATATACATATACAAATACACATAAACACACATACAGGGACGACGCGTATCCAGTTTGTACGCGTACCCCATTTTTGTTCCTTCGGCACTTTTTTAGCCGGCTGCTACGTGTTCAAGGGAGATTCCCCTCCACCTCTCCCTCTCGCAATCCTACTCTGGTGGCATCTCTGTCTCTGTCCCACTGCTTGCTCTAGCCATTGCAGTGGAAGCCAACATTAAAGCATTTGCCTTTGTGCTTCTGCTGTTTATATTTGTGTTTTCTTTGTAAATTTTGAATTTTTCATTTCGATTGCACAGTGGCCCCAAATATGTTTGCATAGCAACAAATCACAGTGGATTAGTTCATATAGTTCAAAAATGTTTCCTTTATGATCAAGATAAGCAAAGTGTGAATTTATTTTTATAGCAGCGGTAAAACAAAGTTTACTCAGTATTATAGGAGCTCAAAAATAAATTTTAATAAAGCATCACTTCAGATATTTCAATTTTAAAATCTGAAAAAATTTATGAACTTCAAATAATAATTATAATATTAAGCAAATAATACAAAATTACGATATCAAGTAAAAATTAAATTTACAAACTCTTAAAACAGTTTCACAGTAAAATTATAAAAATGATTTTGAAATCTAGAAATCTAATTCAGTAATATAAATTTCTGTAAACTAATAAAATATACAAATTTAATAAAAAAAAGTACTTAATATTCAAATATTTTTAAAGTATGTAATTTAGTTGAAGGTATTTTCACAACATTATGATATTTCTAAAAGTAAAATTTAAATAGACTAATTTGTGAAGGAAAAAAAATTGAATTGACGACTTCACAAGTATAAACTAAAATATGATTACATTTGAGTATTTGATTCCTCAAATTTAAAAAAAGTACGTTTTTCTAGTTAACTATCTAAGACCAGAGCTCTATTATACCCACTAGAGCTAGAAGCCCTACTCCAGCTTTACAAATGGCGTCTGCTACTCTTGACTGCAGAAGATTTTCTTTCAGATTTTTTTCGTTCATATTTTATTTTATTAAGCAAAAAGGAAATTGTGGAAGTAAACAGTGACTGCAAACACACACACACACACACACACATACACTCATCGAAATATACTCGCTTACATAGAGATGGGTAGGTGAGGCACATGAGCTCTCCTGGCCTACGCCCTCTCTTAGAGCTCCGCCCGCTCCCCCCGGTAATGTCATATGAACGCCCCATTATTTACTTAACGTAAGTTAAACATTCGCCGGCTCTCTCCTCCTTGGCACGGAATGCTGTTTTGGGAAGGTTAGCAAAAAAAAAAAAAATTAGGAATGAGAGAAAGAAACAAAAAATGTAGCATACAGAAATGTTCGCAAAGCGAGACAGAAGTGACAAAGAGAGAGAGGTGGGAGGGGGAGTTGGGGCTGTAGTGAAGCAGGGAGAGTTGGCTAACCTTACCTGCCAGCAAAGGCAGCCTAGTCAAAGAGCTGTCGTCGATTCTAAGCGCCCAACTCCGTCCCCTTGAGCCATAGCTGGAGCCTCTCCAAGCTGCCTCGCTCCCCGCTTCAGGAGTGGAGCAAACAAACCGCCATGAAATATGCAGCAGGCAGTCCGAACAAAAAATGATTTATGTGGACGCCATGGAAAACAACGAATAAACGAACAACCGAACAACCAAACAACCAACAGCAACAATAACACTAACAACATCAACTGATTTCTCAACTTGGCTCCAAGCCCAAGGCCCATCTTGTTTTTTTTTTTCCTTTTTTTTTTGTTTTTTAATGTATTTTCATTTGTTGTTCTGGCCTAGCAATGAAAAATGCGCGAAATCCTCTAAAAAGGCATCTGCTCAAAGGAGAGCTACTAGGGCTTAGAAATCCGAGAGCTCCTTTGGCCCATGCCAAAACTGGGCGGGTTAGCAATATACAAATAATGTATTCGTATAAAAAGATGAATTTTAGTTTACTTCGCTCTGAAACTTAAGGATGATTTAATAATGGAAGACATCGAAGTATTGTATCCAATAAACCTGTTTTCAATCCTTATTTCAATAGGAGACTTTCGCTTACGTATGGAAAGTATTTATATGTGATTTGAGAGTTTTATTGGAGCAACGAAATTTCTGTCTCCTTGTTCTATCATCCGCTAAGAGCTAAAGTCTTATAACTTAATTGCCTAATTAGAATAAGCCGATTAAGGCTCATCATCATAATTATTTAAGATTTGTTTAGTCATTGCAATTTATATTTTCAATGTCGTAGATACTTTGCAATTTAAAAATATGTTATTACCAATTTTGGGTCTCATTTCACTCTAATATAATGTGGAAAATCTAACTCTTGGCTACATGTGCGCCTATTAATTTTAATATTATTAGATACTGTTTTTTCTTCTAACTAAAACTAATGTTTGCTTAATTTATATTGTATTATATGTTTATTATTTATTTATTATTATTAATATTTGAAAATTATATTTAAATATACTTGTTTAATTTTATAAAAATATATTTTGTATATATGAGCTGATATATATATTGCTTTTGTATTATTTTATTTCATTGTTCCTCGTTTATTGACAATTAATATAGTTAATGCATATATTTTCACTCATACTTTCATACATATTTGTGGTATTTTATTTGTTTTGTTGCACAAATTTGATTAAGATTTAGTTTTTTTCGCTTATTCAATTTTAGGCGTTTATTTATATTGTTTTTCGAGTTTTATTAAACTTTTATTTATTTGAATAATATTTTTTGTTCATAATCTATGTTTATATAATTTGTATATACTTAATAAATAACTTTACAAAGCATCGTATTAGTTTAGTCGAATTGCTTTGGGAATTCTGTCGTGTAAGTTGAATCTTTCGATATAGGTATATATATATATATAAATTTATATAATATGTTATGCTATGCTGCACTAACTTTGTTATGTACTTAGTAGAGTAACATTTAGGCCCCAAAATTATGGCTTGTTAGGGGTGAGTTGAATAAAACAGTAAATAGTTATGAATTCGAGTACGGAGAGTGGCAAGCAAGAGAGAGGAAGTACGACCCAGTATAATGTCAGTAAAAGGCTACACACAAATAGACGCCTAATGATATTTACTTAGAGCATTAACAATTTTTATTTTTGACACTCACACAGATGTCCGATGTGAATTGGGCTGCCTACAACGCGTTTCGCTGTGATCTGGCCAAGGTGCAGAAGACTTTCACTTGCTGCACTCAGACGGAGTTCACCGAGGAGGTCGGCACCATAACCGAATTGCAATTGGGCTGCAAGCTCCCAGCCATAGCTCCAGCTCCAGCTCCACTCGAGAATGGACAGATCTAATGGAGAAGCTGTCGAACCGCACCCGTTGCCGCACAGCTCGGCATGGCCCGTGGCACAAACTAACGACGTCGAGTTTAAAAATTCGGTTACGATCCTATTCAACGCCAAGGAGGAACACGGGGTGGTTCGGCTGAGCCAGTCGGACACCAGCTTTGAGAGAAGCCAGACCACTTTGTTGAGCGCTGCCAAGCTCCTGCGGCGCAGCCAGTCGGCGCAAAGACTGCCCAAGTCGGCCAGCGAGGCATACCTATCCACGGATCTCTCCGAGTCAGCTATGACAATATTATCAGGAGCCCCATCGCCAGCGCTCATCAATTACAATGGCAGTGCCTCCACCATTGGGAGCGCCGGGCACCTGCTGACCGATTCCCACTCCTCGGGCTATACGACGGAGAGCAGCTATCAAACAGCCACAGCTGGGAGCAGCTTTAGCCTGGACAGTTCCATCTACTTGAGCAGGCGACTTCGCGGTGCGGACAACTACATTCAGGAGATACACGTGGGATTGGAGCCGAATGCAACAGAGTCACAAGTGCAGGCAATCCGCGACGATCTGCGCAGCCTGCTGAGAAACGAGGTGTCGCTGATCCATGACACGTCTGGTGGCAGCAGGCGAGCCGTCTATCTAATTGCCTATCAATACATGTAGGCTGTGTACCAAATATAAATTCCTAAATTTTTAGTCTTACATCAATTGGCGAATATTTTATAAGTGGATCCATGGATCAGATGAGAAAAGGGAATTGGCTAGAACATTCTGAGTAAGGAAATGACTGAGAGTACTTTCCAGATAATTGTGTATATATTTCATAGAGTAATTAGTTTCATCTACTTGGTGAAAAGTTTTGCTTCAACTAAACATGATTTGAGCTGTTGAGCTTAAAAGTTTACTTCGTGAGATGGTACTTGTGTGAAAGATCTGTCTTTCTATCTGCACTGTACACTCACACCAGATCTTTCCTTACTGTAACTGCTCTGATCTTATATACATTCATCATGTAACCTGGTGCTTTCAATTGGTTCATTTGGTTTGGTCAGCTTGCCATCCTCTTTTCATCTGCCCATCAATCTTTGTATACCTGTACATCAAATGTATAGCTTCTAAATTTGTAGCGCCACTTAAACCAGTTGTGCTCATAGCCGATCTTGACATCATTCGCTTGTTGACATTATGACAAATTACGTGCGCAAAAGGCAACAAAATGCAACCCCCGGCGGAAGGATGTCGAGGAAGGAAACAAGCAGGCTAAAGCGATACGCTTAAGCATTGGTAGGGTGCTGGCTGGCTGGCTGGATGACTGACTGGTTGGCTAGGGGGGTGCGCCCCTTGTGACGTTAATAGGAAAGCCACACAAGAACAACTAACGAACGGCACGCGGCGGCCAGCGGGCGGGCGGGCGGTCGGACGGCGGACGGACGACGAACGGACGGTTGGTCGAGTGAGCGACAAGTGCGCTAGCCCACAGTTTTGAGGGTTGAGGTAGCAGCGAGGGGTGGAGCGGGGCATGGGCAGGGGTTTGTTTGCCCAATGCTAAGTGCACGAGCCGTAGGCAAGTGGAAATGACAAACATATTTACACAATTTTTGACAGGCTCAAACCCAACATACAGAGCCAAGGAGCTGCGAACGGGTGAAACCAAACACCCGTGGGTGCAGCGAGCTGCCCACGCCTCCTCCTGCTCGACTACACTGCAAACAGAGCAACCCAAACTCGATAAATATGTTTATGTGCAAATAACAAAATATTTGTCGATTGCCGGTTACTTCAACTGCTCAGCTGGGCGTGGCATGGGCAGCGACAGCGACAGTGACAGGGGTAAGAGTCGAGGGTTTCAGGTTAGATTTGGACTTGGGGTTGGGGTTGAGAGCTGCTTCACTTGGGAAGCACCGCAAGCGCATAATTCAATTTTTCTGCTCGTTTTGCACGACGCTCAACGAACGTCGCTCAACTCCGCTGGGATGTGTCGCAGCATCCAGCCAGGTCCTTGCACTGCTTTGCGCCGCTCTGCTCTGCTCTGCTCTGGCTGAATATTAGCGCCACGTGTTCTATGCGATGCGGTTTTATGGTATGGCCCTCTTATTTATTTGTTTGTAATTACGCGTGCTCTAAACAAAATCCCGGCGCACTTGAAAAACGCGCCCAGTGCCAACAGCAATTGCAGTCCTGCAGCATGCTCTTTTTTCCAATGCTGCGGCACGTGCTCGAAATGGAGGCTGGCGATGTTAGAAGGCCTACTCCTATTGGGAGAACGGGGAGCAGCTGCTGCTTCTAGGTATTCCCAGCGCATTAGCAACAATAGCCGAGATGCTAAGCCATTTGGTCATTGTCAACAATTTTGGGACTCTGACTCTGACTTTCGGCTTTGTCTCGTCTCCACATCCACATCCACATCCACATCATATCCAGCTCAAACGCGTGTCCTTCGATGTTATCCTCCGTGTGTCAGTTGTCAACATTTTGGACCGGCTTTTAGCTACGGCCTTAGCTTGTCAATTGATTTGCGTGGGATCAGGCCGCGACATGTGAGGCACGAATCGAAATCATAATTTGTGCTTGGGGTTGCTCCGAATGTCTTCCAGCCGGATTTGCGCATAGACAAGCAACAATGAGAGCTAAGCTCTGCCCAGTATAAAATAACATGCATCCAGTTTTGCTAACAGTTATGAAACATGAATCGAATTAGAGCAATAATCAAAATTGAGCTGTAGGCTGAATTGTGTGCTCGAATATCTCACACCCTGTACTCATCGGTATGGTATGCCTGTCTATCCACCTTGCGTTTATTCCTTCCGTTTATTCGGTCTCCTTGCCTCCCGGTTGATTTCAATCACAACTCGCATAATTTTCAGCAATATTTATCGCTTATACTGATTATTTAATTATTAACTGCTTTGTCACATCATACGAAATTTGAGTACAATAAAAACGCAAATAAATGAACTAAACAGTTTGGAAAAGTGTCAAGAGAAGGTGAGCTTAAGCATATACTTATATCGATGAGTCAATATAGCTCTATTCTTGTCAGTCTACCTATCTATCTGTATATGTATGTACCCATATCTTTAAAAGTGAAATATAAATGGGCAGACATATCGTAAAATCTACCATCTATTATATTTTATTGTTCAAGGCAAATCCCTTGAACATTTTTTTACAATCAATCAACAAAGAGTTAATGCTACAAATTTGTTTTTTAGCAGAGGTAATGTTCGGCTTTTCACTGAGATATTTATAGTTTTGCTAAAGATTTTTTGTTAAGTATAACTCGACTTAAAAAAAAATTCTTGCATTGGTATACTTTAAAAGTATATCATTATTTAAAATATTTCTGGATAAGTATACCTACATTTATAAAAGGAACTACCTTTTTATGGGCAAATCCACCTTCAAAACGTGAGAAATGGAAACATACACATATCCTGGGCGAATAGTCCTCCTAAGGCCATTTTACCTATCGTATTTGAATGTGTTTCAGGAGGAAACCCAGAATAATTTCAACCCAGAATACCGTGAGATTCTGGGCCTTCAGCTGAAGTACTCTAATTTAATTGTCGATTTAAATACTTATATTTAACTAAATAGGGTTTTTAGGTTTGATTGTGAATTAAATTAGCAACACCCAAGTCCACAAGTGAATGAAGAAATAGTTAACCAACACATCTTAAGGCTGGCCTAACATAAATCAGTCGATCCGATATATTAGATATAGGTTAAGTCAGAAATTGATATTTATAATCTATAATCTCTTTATAAATCCAAGATCTAATAACTTTTATAAAGAACAATAAATCTCTTTTCTTTATATTAATCGCCTCATCTTTCATGTAGTCATCTATGGTATATGGAATAACGAGTAAGCCTTCTTTTTAATATCAGCAATTATATTATTAGTTTCAATGACCGAAACAGCATATGAAATGAGCGAAAATGAACGAACGCATTAATGCGGTTAGGTCAAGCGGCTATGCTTAATTGAAAAACACTTATGGAGAAGGCTCTTCGACACAAGTCAGGGCAACCGCACTACCGTGCCACAGGTGCCACACACACACACAGACGCATACACATCGTTTACTATTCATACATACAATACAAAAGTCCGCTTACAACAGACTTTCATCAGCAATCAACACTTTAGCCACATTTCATCTGCTGCCCTAGCAAAAATCACAAAACAACAGCGAAAAACTTGGAATAATTAAAAGCATAAATAAATAACTGATAGTTGCACAGAGATGCAGATAGACAGTGAGAGAGAGAGAGTGAGACAGGAGCTGAAAAATATTAGACAAGACAGGTGCAAGAGCCATAGGCAAATTCCGGATGACGAGTGGCCAATGGACCTAGGCACTGAGACCCCCGGACCTGAGACCGGGCCAACCGAGAATCAAAGCTGTTGCTTGGTACTCACCCTCGAGCGCTCGATTCCTTGATATTAAAGCCAACACAAATTCCGGATTTGGGTCATCGTGATCACCGACGCCAACCGCAGCATGTTGCTGATGATGGCTGTGCTGGCCAGCGAGCAGGTGCGATGCCTGCGGCGTGGGCGGCAATTGTTGCTGCTGCTGCTGCTGCTGCTGATGAATATGTTGTTGTTGCTGCTGCTGCTGCTGTTGCTGTTGCTGCTGGTGATTATCCATGACTGACAGCTGCTGCTGCAGATGCTGTGGATGCGAATGTGGATGCGGATGCGGATGCGGATGTGGATGCGGATGCTGTTGATGCAATGGCGGTGGCGGCTTCAGCGTTTGCATCATCTCTAAAGCCAGTTGCATGCACACTCCCAACAACAACAACAACAACAACACCGAACGGCAGCAAATCGATGAGAGCTTCCTTAATTGGCAACTACTATAAACACTGGCTTGTCTGTAGAGCTAATTCAATATGCGTTTCGTCACACGAGTCGTATGCGTAATAATTGAAGAGTATATGACGCACTAGCGAGCAGGCACTTTTCTTGGCACAATTTTATACAAGCCTGATCGATTTCAATTTTAATGGACTACCCTGTATTTGACA